AATAATTATCACATTAAATAAATTTGCATGTTAAATTCAATAGTTTTGTTTCAATTAATGTTATACTAGCCTAAATATAATTTGTTTGATTAGTAGCTCGATTTATAAAATATTTACAATTTAAAATCATACTTCAATCAAAAGTAATTTATTTGAAAAAAGCTATTAATTTTTCTATCTTAATATCATTGTGCAATTAAAAATATTTAAATCGTTTTAAGAAGTATTTAGTAAACTGTTGTTAAATTATTAATGTATCTTATAATTTATATCCAAATTTATTATGATATCAAACTGGTAGAATAATTAATTATCAGTTTTATTAAGCAGTTAATTAGGCTACTTACAGATTGTATAAACTAAATCAAAGAATCATTTTGTAAAGCTGAGTGACCTAAATGGTATTATTAACAATTAAAGATATTGAACTTTATGGAAGCATGTCATTGAATTATAAATGTATTGAATCATTCATATCAAAATTTATCAAACTATATTTAATGTTTATTTATGTACCTATATTTAGTTTATTTTGGTGTATTTTAGAAGGGACGATGTTGAAGTTGGACAACGTTAAACGTGGACTACGTTAAAAGCAGACACCGCCTCAATCAGACAACGATAAAAGCAGACAACGACGAACATGGACAGATTCAAATGTGTCCAAGCTTAACGTTGCACGCAAACGACGAACCTGGACACATTTATAAGTTGTCTAGGAGTGGCGTTGCACGACACGACGAATCTGGACACATTCAAATGTGTCCAAGATTAACGTTGCATGCAAACGACAAATCTGGACAAGTTTTTAAGTTGTCCAGGGGTGGCGTTGCACGACACGACGAAACTGGACACATTCAAATGTGTCCAAGTTTAACGTTGCATGCAAACGACGAACCTGGACAAGTTTTTAACTTGTCCAGGGGTGGCGTTGCACGACACGACGAATCTGGACACATTCAAATGTGTCCAAGGGTAACGTTGCACGCAAACGACAACCCTGGAAACTTAATCTGTCCAACTTTAACGTTGTCCGCGTGTGTCGTTGTCCAAGCTCGGCGCGGTCACATTTTAGAATTATGCTATTTATGTATGCTGATGTTTTCAGTATAAGAATGTTAATTTTTTATTTTGCTAGGAAAATATTAAGATGCCATTGTCTAGGCATAGTGAGTGTATGTGTGTGCGAATGTTGTATGCTTGTGTCGCCTGCTTCCCGGCCTCCATTGTCATGTGCCACTTGTTGCCTGTTCATCAATGCTTATCAGTCCAGTAACTGATAACGCTGCCCCGACCCTGCTCGGTCCCTCTCTCTCTCCGCCGTTATCTCAGCTTCTCTGCCAAACCCTATCTCCATTCCCCAACTTCTTAAAGGCAGCTCATGTAAATGCACAATCTCTTTTTTGTCACATAGACGAATTTCGTACAATCTTTCAAGATTCCTCAATAGATTTGATTTTAATTTCTGAAACTTGGCTCAAACCATCATTAAATGACAAATGTGTTGAACTAACTGGCTACAATATTTTTAGAAATGATCGTCTCCATAAGGGTGGAGGAGGAGTTGCTATTTATTTTAAGTCTCATTTTCCTTCCTCTGTACTTTTAAAGTCCAACTCAGAAACAGTGGGAAGACCTGAATATTTATTTTTGGACGTTTGTGTTAACAAAACACATTTTTTTTGTTTGTGTTTGTTACAGAGCACCTCACATTGGGTTCTTGGCTGAGATTGAACAGGATTTGGTGGGTCTGCTGCCTCGCTCTAGTCATGTCATTGTGATGGGTGACTTTAACACTGACCTACTTGGACCACTTACTTATGACCAAACTACACTTACAAATCTGTTCTTCTCCTGTAACATTACTTACCTTTAATCTTACCTTTACTTGCCACACATCACACAGCCACGGCTGACACACTGCTGGATATCATAGCTGTTAGTGACCCATCCTTTATTGCCCACCATGGTCAATTTTCTGCCCCTGGACTTTCTAAACATGACCTGATTTTCTGTGTATATAAATTAAAAAAGCCCAAATTCTGCCCAAATTTGATTAAATACAGAGACTATCGTAATCTTAACCTCAATGCTCTGCTTTTAGATGCTTCTACTCTACCGTGGGATGTGGTTACTAATGATCCTGATGTCAATTCAATGGTCGAGCATTTTACTTTCCTCATTTCTAATCTTCTCAATAAACACTGTCCAATAGTATCTAAAAGAGTTTCTAAGCCACCTGCTCCCTGGATAAATGATTTTATTCGACAACTTCAAAAAAATAGAGATGCTGCATTTCGTAAAGCCAAGCGCACCAAACTCCCTGATGACTGGGCCTGTTACAAAAGACTCAGGAATCAAACCCAACAACAGATTAGAAACGCTAAAGCCAGGTATTATTATACATCTTTCTCCCAGAAACAATCCTCCAAAACGTTGTGGACCAAAGTTAAGAACCTAGGTATTGGCAAGTCTAAAAATTCACATCAAATATCCATCAGTCTCGACACTATTAACAACTTTTTTGTGAATATTCCTATAAGTTCTGCAGGTGCCTTTAACCATGTTGCCGATATCACATCTAGACCACTTGACTTGCCAGAAAATCTGTTTTTCTTTCCCCCAGTTAGTGAATTTGATGTTCGCAGGGCAATCCTAGGGATGACAAGTAACGCAGTCGGCGCTGATGATATTCCTATTAGGTTTATTAAAGACACTCTACCAGTTACTCTCCCGGTACTAACATTCATATTTAACAGATCATTAGCAACCTCTACCTTCCCCTCCATCTGGAAATCAGTCATTGTTCGCCCACTTCAGAAAATTTCATCTCCCAATACCCCTTCTGATTATAGACCAATCAGCATTCTTCCTGCCCTTTCTAAATGCCTTGAAAGAATAGTGCATAATAAATTCTCAGTTTTTTTGGAAGAGAACAAAGTCTTATCGGATTGTCAATCTGGGTTTCGCGCAAAATATAGCACTACCACTGCTTTGTTGAAAATTACTGATGACATCCGCCGTGCAATGGATAACAGACAGGCCACTATTTTAACCCTTTTTGACTTTTCAAAGGCGTTCGACTGCGTATACCATCCTCTTTTACTCCTGAAACTGCGCTTGGCTAGTTTCTCTGACAACTGTGTTGACTGGATTGAGTCCTATTTATCTGATCGTCAGCAGTGTGTCAAAGCTGATGACAAATGTTCTACTTGGGAGCAGATTACTAGAGGTGTTCCTCAAGGATCTGTTCTTGGCCCACTACTGTTCTCAATTTACATCAATGACATCACAGAACATATCACTAACTCACACTACCATCTGTATGCTGACGACTTACAGATTTACTCTCACTTTAATGTAGACGAGATGGATACTACTGTGCGACTCATGAACATTGACATTGAATCAATAACTCACTGGGCCACAAACAACGGACTTAAACTCAACATTGATAAAACTCAAGCAATGATTGTTGGCTACCCCAGATTAATGACTAGAATAAACTTACTCACTGCACCGTGACTTAGCTTTGACGGAAAAGACCTTACCTACTGCGACAAAGTGAGAAACTTAGGACTCATAATGAACAAACATTTGAATTGGTCTGACCAAGCAAATTCCACTTGTAACAGGGTTTTTGGGGCTATTCACACCATCAAACGTTTCGCAGAATACCTTCCACTGAACTTAAAAATCATGTTAGTAAAAACTCTCATCTTGACTTCACTTCAATTACTGTGATGTGGTGATCAATGACATGACTAATGAGGTTTCTAGCAGACTTCAGCGAGCGCAGAATTCCTGTATCAGATTCATATTTGGCCTTAGACGATATGACCATGTGACTCCATATTTCAACCTGCTTTCATTAATGAGGCTAAATGAACTTCGGGAATTTCACACCCTCCGTCTTCTACACTCCATTATCAACAGTAAAATTCCTAAGTATTTATCAGATAACTTCCATTTAATTTCTGACATCAGTACCCGTTCCACTCGTAGAGGCTCTCTTCTTTTATCCACACCAATTCACCGGTCAACAGTTTTTAATAAATCTTTCTTAGTATCTGCAATTCGAATGTGGAATTTTCTTCCTGACCATATAAAATCCATAGAGAACCGTGCAGGGTTTGGGGCAGAGATAAAATCTATGATGTTGAGTAGCAGGCATGAATGAGTCTCTGGCGCTGGTGTGGCGGGTTGTTGGCGGCTTGTGTGAATGGACTTTTTGGGTTTAAATTTAATTTCAACATTTTTATAATATGGTACCTTAGATTATTTAATTTTATTTATAAAGTGGTTATTTTGTTTATGTTTGAGAGGTTAAGTGGTAGAGAGGACTTGCTAGTCCTAACTTCGCCTCTTAAATAAAGACATTTTTCATTTCATTTAATTTCATTTCACCCTATCTGGTAGACGCTGACAAGTTAAGGGAAAAGGAAGAAGCAAGAATTGATCGTCAAAAGATTTATTTTGACAAAAGACATAGAACCACAGAATTGCCTACTCTACCTGTTGGAGCTCAAGTCCATATAAAGGACAGGAATCAAGAAGGAACTAAATTAAACAAACATCCTTGTTACTCACCGGTCAGAAGAATACTGCTGCTGTCCTCAGTTGACTCCTCAGTTGACGACAGTTACTGATAGGCTATTGGGCTTTTGGTAATATGTGGCCAGTTCATATCATGTATAACATCCCTCCTTTCATAAAATAAACTTGAGACTCCTGGTAAGATTTTTGTTTCGTTGTAAATTAAATGCTGTCATAACCTATTTCTACTTTCACAAATTAACACAAAATTCTCCCTTCAAAATAAATTTCTTCTTTCAAAAAAATCAAAATCTTTCTCCACACAGAAAACAAAATAAAAATTCTTCTCGTAAATAATAAAATACTCTTCTTACAGGCCTATAGAATGTGTCTTCATAATAAAAACAGAACAAACTAAACAAATAAAAATTACTTCGTAGTAATTGTCGTAGTACATGTCTTGCTTAGTGTTTGTATCGTTCTGGGGTCTTGACGTGACGTCCAGAACGTGTCACTCGTCTGTTAGGTGTATTAGTTTCCATATCGAGTGGTCTCATATCTTGGTCATGTAAAGTGTTGTCTACGATTGGAGCTGATTTCTTAGTGGGACTGTCAACTTGGGTCCTGTTGTTGTCTGCTACTCGGTCAGGTTCATTGTGTGTTAGGGCCGCCTTTGGTGCATTTAAGAATTCTCTGTTTCTTCTATACAACTTTCCACTAATATCTACCACGTACGACCTTGGTGATTTCTTCTCAACTATCTTTCCTGGAGACCACTTGGGATCACATTTTTTCGATTGCTTCACGTAAACTTCTTGGCCTATGTCTAAATCAGGCAATGTCTTGGAAGTTCTATCGTAATAAAATTTATATTTTCTCTTCTTTAGGCTAAGTTGGTCTTGGACTGAGCACTCTGCCCTTGGTACTAACAAGTTCTTCACTATATAAGCGTTCTTGTGCGACGAGACATCGAGCGTTGAACAGGACTTGAGTTGACTCCTTCTGTGGGAGTGTTGCACCACTCTAATAAAGCCATCCATAGATCTTCTGAATTTCTTTCAGTCTTCTTAATTAAGTATTTTGCTATCTTTACAGCTGATTCAGCCTTGCCATTACCTCTCGGGTGATATGGCGACGATGTGACGTGATTAAACTCCCATTCTTTTGCAAATCTGTGAAAGTTAGCTGTTTGAAACTGAGCTTGTGAATTGTCAGTCACCACTGTTAAGGGACAGCCGTGACGACTGAAGTTTTTCTTCGCAATTTCTACCGTAGTGGCTGATGTCAGATCAGGTAGTTTGTCCAATTCAAAGAAATCTGAGTAATAGTCTACTGTGACTAGATAATTGTCATTTTTGTGGTGAAATATGTCAAGCGCTACTCTCTTCCACGGTAGATCAGGGATTCTATGGGTCTGCATAGGTAAATGAGCAGGAGCGGGTGATAATTCCAAACAGGCTGAACACTCTTGAACTGTCAATTTAATGTCCTCCGACATATGTGGCCAAAATAACGTGAGCCTTGCCTTTCTGAGACTGGCATCAATGCCTTGATGACTCGAGTGTATCCTGTTTAACATCTCTCTTCGTAGGGAATTTGGCACTACTAAGCGTTCACCCCTAAAAATGAGTCCATCTTGAATACTAATTTCATCTCTGTATGTCCAATATTGTTTCACTTCATTTGGAAGGGCGTCTTTTGCCATTGGCCATCCATCTTGTATGATTTTTTTCATTGCAACAAGCTCTTTGTCCTAGTTGGTGTGCTTTTTTATCTAATCAAGTCGATCTTTGGTGACATTTAAATGCTCCGTGGACGATATTTCTTCCAATCTGTTAAACATATTTTCCTCCTCTTGTATTTGGTGTACTTGCCATGATTCTAAGTCCTTTTCATCATTTCTCGTCATTGTTTGCGCAGCTCGTGACAGGGTGTCTGCTATATACATCTTGCTTCCTTTCTTGTAAACGAGGTCAACGTTGTACTTTTGTAGTTTAAGCATCATACATTGTAATCGCTTGGGTGCTGACAGAACAGACTTTTTGAAGATGTTCAGCAGAGGCTGGTGATCTGTCTCCACCGTTATGTCTTCTTTGCCACATATATACTGTCGAAAACGATTGCAAGCGAATAGGATGCTCAGGCATTCTTTTTCTATTTGAGCGTAGCGTCTCTCTGTTTGGCTCATTGTCCTAGATGCATAGGCCACTGGTTGGCCTAATTGGATTAAAGCACATCCGAGACCTGTGTCACTGGCGTCACATTGTAGCGTTACCGGTTTAGTGACGTCATAATATCGTAATACCGGAGTTTTTGATAGCATATCTTTTAGATTCTCGAAGGCATTCTTATGGGTAACATCCCATGTCCATGGCACGTCTTTTTGTGTCAGTTGTCGTAAGACTTCACACCGATCGGATTACGTAGGGACAAATTTAGCCAGATAGGTTACAAGTCCTAGAAATCTCTGCAGATCGGTCACATTTTTAGGTTGAGGTATCTTCTGAATGGCTAAAATTTTTGTATTGTCTGGTTTTAGACCGTTTTGAGTTAGTACATGACCCATATAGGCTAATTCTTTTTCTCGCAGTTTGAGCTTTTGTTTGTTTAACTTCAAGTTCGTTTGCCGAGCTCGTTCAAGTAAATGCTTCATCTTTATATCATGGTCCATGACCGCTTCATCGTATGTGTCACCACACCCGTAGACCAGAATGTCATCTGCTATGACGTTGACGCCTTCTAAGCAGGATAATACTTCGTTGAGCCGTCTCTGAAATTCCTCTGCTGCCGGTGCTAAGCCAAACGGTAGACGCAACCAACGGTAACGACCTTCAGGAGTCCAAAATGTGGTTAAGAAGCTCGATGGTTCATCTAACTCAACTTGCCAATAGCCATCTTTGGCATCTAAACTAGTAAATACTTTAGCTTTGGCTAAATTTGGTAGAATTTCTTCAATCGTTGGAATTTGGTAATGCGATCGTTTTAGAGCCATATTCAGGTCTTTAGGGTCAATACAAATAAATGCGTATCTTATCGTTACGAGTCACAACAACCATGCTGCTTATCCACTCTGATGGTTCTGCTACTTTTGTGATTACATTTTTTTCTTCCAATTCTAACAATTTAAGTTTTACTTTTTGTTTGAGTGCTATTGGTACTCTGCGAGGAGCATGTTTTATGGGAACAACATTACTATCAACATTACTAATTCTATATGGTACTTTCCTGGGAGTTTGCCTAGGCCTTCGAAAACATCATTAAACTCACTAAGAATGTCCGCTCTGTCCCAAGGCTTCATCGTTTCTTGCACGGAGCACAGATTCGCTTTAACCTTAGGCCTAGTTTCGCACAAGATTCAGCTGAAATTAAGGGTTTTTGATAAGGGGACTTAACTATTTGAAAGACTAAGTTGTAAACCTTGTTGTCAATACCACATTGCAAGACTTGTTGCCCTACAGGTTCAATGACTTTGCCATCATAGCATTTGATTTTGATTTGACTTGGCCTGAAATGAGGGCTGTGATCACAAATTAGTTTATTGTAATCCTCAACGTTAATCACATTACTGGAAGATCCAGTGTCTAACTGACATTTAAAAGTCCTAAATTTACCGTTACAACTTAGTTGTAACTCAGTGAACCATTGCTTCTTCGGTTGATTGTGTACAGTAGGCCTACAAGGAATGCTACTACTGACTTGGAAAAGTGAAAACAAAGAATCTTCGCTATCATCATTACTTGATGGTTATGTGATTCCTCACCAATAAAATGCAGTTGCTTGCGGTTATATTTAGATTTAGGCCTACTAGAGGTCTGCTGTCTGTTAAAGTTTGCGTTTGGTTTGAAATTAGCTCTGTTAAATTTACCTTGTTTGCATACAATAGAGAAATGGTTAAGTTTACCACAATTTTGACACGTCTTGCCAAATGCCGGACATAGAGATTTTTTCCATTGATGAAGGTTTCCGCAATAGATACAAGTCTTAGGTTTAGAATAACTTGAGTTGGTCCTACCTTGTGAGTAGACAGGCGATGTTTTATTCAATACCTCATCTTCGGTCTCGTTTTGGGTAATAATCCTCTTCAATTGTTTATTTGTAGCTTCATGCGCTTTACAAGTGTCAATGGCCGAGGTTAACGTAAGCTTAGAATCTCCCAGTAGCTTTTTGCGAAGGCTGACATCTGAAACACCTAAAACTAGACGATCACGTATGAGCTCAGACTCCAAGTTCTCATATTTGCATGAGGATGCTAGATGACGCAGCCTACAAACATATTGATCAATGCTTTCATACACTTCTTGGTTGGCCGAGCCAAATATGAATCTTTCATACACAACGTTTTTGTCAGGTTGAAAATAGGCATCCAAAGCCTCTAAAATTCCTTGGGCAGAACTTTTTTTGTCATTATCTATGTCTAGCCTAGTAAAGATCTTTAAACAATCTTTGCCTATGATTGATAAGAGTGTGGCTACTTGCACCTCACGTGGTTTTTTATCTAAACCTGTAGCAATCGAATAGTTTTCATACTGCAATTTAAAATATATCCAATTTTCTACAACATTGTCACCTTTCACATCCACTTGTGAAGGTGGAGGTAGGCCTAGTGTTACTGCATTTGAGTCTAAGCCTAGGCCTAGGTTAGAATCTAGCCTACATTTTTTACCTCAGGCTCTGTTAATTGTCCATCTTTTCCGAGTGGCATTGTTTAGAGATAATATTAAAGTAAATTTGAATACCATGTATACTTTTATCATGAAAATCTTGAGTAAAGTAAGTTATTTTTCTTGATGACTGTACGGGCTATGGCTACGACAATCTTGCCGGCTAATCGGTTGATAATGAATAACTGCACATATTTACAAGGTATATTACTTTAAACTGCATTAAAACAATAAAAATAACTTCTGGACTGAAAACAAACTAATATTAGACACTTCCGACAGTTAAAAATGTGAAAATTTGTATTTTTGCAAAACTTTGCAAACTTTTGCAGGTTTATGGTCACCGACGCGCACTGAATAATGGCGATGACGCTTATGGTTTCTTTTCAGTCTCTTCTTCTTCTATAAACAGGCTTGGGGCACCACCGCTGCCACCATGTTACTCACCGGTCAGAAGAATGCTGCTGCTGTCCTCAGTTGACTCCTCAGTTGACGACAGTTACTGATAGGCTATTGGGCTTTTGGTAATATGTGGCCAGTTCATATCATGTATAACAATCCTGCACCTCGATCCTATATTATTCAAACGCAAGATGGTTGTTTGCGGAGGAACAGAAGATCACTGCAAAGACTTAGCACTACTATGCCCTCTGATCACTCTCAACCAGCACTGCAGACCAGTCCTTCAAACAACTCAGAAGATCAGAAGCTTTCGATCATCCTGCCATAGATAAAACATACTCCCCCAAGATCCTGCACCTCCGGACGTTACATTCACATTCGGACGTTACATTCACATTCCCCCCCTGCCACCAACTTAATTTTTTTAAATAAGAAGGTACCCCTTGTGACATATCAAATGAAAGAGCATAAAAAAAGAAAATGTTTGATGAAACAAAATTGAAAATCGGTTCATAAATTTGCGAGGTATTTCCCCTCCCCCTCCCCGGAACTTTATTTTTTTTAATAGCAAGATACCCCTTGTGACATATCAAATGAAAGAGCATGAAAAAAGAAAATGTTTGGTGAAATTTATTTTTCATTTGATATGTCACAAGGGCGGGTACCTTGCTATTAAAAAACAAGCTATGGGTAGATGAAAAGGGGGGGGGGGATTATCTCACAAATTCATGAGCCGATTTTAATTTTGTTTTCACCAAAAATTTTCTTTTTTCATGCTCTTTCATTTGATATGTCACAAAGGAAACCTTACTATTAATAAAAAATTAAGTTCCGGGGAGGGGGAGGGGGAAATATCTCGCAAATTTGTGAACCGATTTTCAATTTTTTTCATCAAACATTTTCTTTTTTCATGCTTGTTTATTTAATATGTCACAAGGGGTACCTTGCTATTTGAAAAAAATCAGTTGGGGGCAGGGGGGAAAGGGGGGAATGTGAATGTAACGTAGAATTCAAAACAATTGGGCCCTTTACGTCAATAGATGATTCCCGCAAACTGCATATTTCTATCTATTGCGGTTTTTACATAAATAAAGATGCAAGTTTTTAAAAAAACACCCTGTATTTTAATTTAACTTACGATAACACTACAGTTTATCCTCATTTACTCGGGTGTTTTTCGAGCACAAACTATAAATCTTATATATTGTTGTAGCAAAAAATGAGCACTAAATTTCTATGTATAATACATGGTTATATCCTTTAGTGGCGGGCTGAACGTGAAGTTAGCCCCACCAATAGGCTTTTATAATTTGTGTGTGTGTGTGTTATTGTTGAGCACAAATTTTTATAAATAGACCTTTGAGCAGCACAAATTAGGCACTAAATTATGGATATTATGTTTTCATAATTTGTGCTCATTATGGTGGGGCCAACTTCACGCGAGTTGTTCAGTCTTGAACGGTAGTCGGACGCAATATCTGCCAGATTGGTCCCAAGAGTGGAGGCTGCGGCTCCACTTGCCGTAAATTGTCGCGCTGCAAATTGTAGCGCGCTACACGCGACAGTTGGTGGCTCCACTAGCAGCAGAGTACGAACTACAATCTGCAGCGTCCTCATAAGCACCGTGTCTCCACTAGCAGTT